AACAGACTTTCTATACGCAGCATGGCTCGCGTAACACTCTTTGTATACATTGTAATGTAAAGCAAAAATAAACAAAAAGGTTCCAGGATTTTGTAAAAATGTCGTGGATTTTTAAAATCTAATTGAAATCGAATTTTGTCAAATTTTTGAAATTTGGATCATGCATGAACTTTCCCTGGGGACATGTGTCATGACGTTTATTAGATACAAAAAAAAAAAACAGACACCCAGAAAAGTTTAAATAGATTAAAAAAATACGCGGATAGTATGCATAAAATTCACGAAAGAGAATACTGCAATTCCATCAAAATATTTTATAAAATTTTATGCAAATTTTGAATAAAATTTAAGAAAAGAAAAATTGTAAAAAAATCAATTTGAGTAAAAATGCATAGTTTTCTTTTTAACTAGCAGCACGTGCTCCAATTCCTTCCATGAAACTGAAATACACAAACACAAACACAAACACAAACACAAACACAAACACAAACACAAACACAAACACAAACACAAACACAAACACAAACACAAACACAAACACAAACACAAACACAAACACAAACACNACACAAACACAAAAACAAAAACAAACACAAACACAAACACAAACACAAACACAAAACACAACACAAACACAAGCACAAACACAAACACAAACACAAACACAAACACAAACACAAACAAAAACACAAACACAAACACAAACACAAACACAAACACAAACACAAACACAAACACAAACACAAAAACAAACACAAACACATATGGCTTTCTTGTGCTATACGGTTTTACCTGTTAAACAGTTTCTCTAAAGATTCCCTAGCCCTAGATAAAAAGTAAACAATATCAAAATTGAAAATTTAAATATTTTACAATATTTCTAATTTTGAAATGGACTGAAAACTTAGATTTAAGAATTATGTTGCCTGTTATTTGAGAGGTTTCCATGGGTTGAAACGTGTTCAATACCGTACAAAAACTCTCTAGGTCCAGTTTAATTCGGGTTTAAAAAATATCCAGAATTTGCAAGAAATAGGTTTCTTTATATTTATGATGTCGAGTAATGCGGAAGAAGGTACAAACTACAAGGTTACCCAAACAGGATGAAATTTCAGTGAGGACTGTACAGAATTTGCACTGTCTATTTCCTAATATTCACGATAATCTATTAAATGTAAGTGACTTTATTTGACCAAAAGATGTCATATTCAGGTCTAATCTTTGTGTAATGCCCAATCTTTGTGTAATAACCAATTATTTTAAGAAAAATCAAAATTATTATCAAAAAGATATAAACAAGTGCTATAATATGCAGCATAGATATGAAAAAGTGCATTTAATCCACTAAAGGCTTTTAAATTTTGTTTTTATACTTTTTAAGCTAAATTTATGAAATCTTAGCCAATGCAGATCCAGAAAAAAATCTCTTCCAGATTCCAAAATGTCAAAAATCCCAAAAAAAGTCAAAATAATCGTCTAATTATGTCTTTTATACTTATTTTCTAAAGAATATAAAATATCTCAGGAGGGATGAAAGATTGTTAAGTTTTATAAAATAGGGAGAATCAAAAGATATAAAAAATGTAATCATTATATTTGTGTTTTTCAAGTATGTTGAAATGATAGCAAAGCTCTCCCCCATAATCCCGTACTTTTTGAGGTCAGAAAAAATTTTAAGTTTCACCCATCAACATTTTTATTTTCAAGTTTCAAATTAAACTGTTCCTGAAAAATATTTTTCTTTCATCCTCCGGTAGATTCCTAACTGCTTTCACTAGTTTAGATATTGGAGATAATTCCTCTTTGGGGCTCAGTTCTTGATTAAAAAATTTTCATAATACACAAGGTTATAATGCAAGGAAAGTTATTTCAGAGGTGTACGCATCTTTTGTACTGCAGTGTACTGTCTCTGGGCGGTAATGTGAACACAAGACGGATGTCGAAGCTTGACATGGCTTCCATCTCTCACATAAAAAATCAATGAAATATTCTGGTCATAGGAAACTATTTTGTGAATTATGAAAATTATCAAAATTTAAATCTTTTAATCTCCTCGGATACTAAACCAACACTGATGCATCTATTCTTGTTTACAAATTCCGCCCAGAGAGAACTGGTTTCAATATGCATTCATAGTAGTTAACTTTCCTTGCATTACAACCTTGGCTCTTACTGACTTTTGTTTACACTCCTCCCAGAAACTGCAGTACACATTTTATGTAAACAACGCATGGATCATGTAGCATGAAACAGAGAAATGGGGGGTTTCTTGTAAATACATACCTAGAGTATCAAGAGGTACTTCTGCTGTCACACTTTCTTGAACATAATTCACAAAATCATCATCCTGTATCATTAGTCTTTGTTATTTCATTATTGAAGAAATCATTAATTCATAAATGTGTTTATCAAATCGAAAGTTAGCTTGTACCTCTATTTAAAGAGGGGAGATTAAGGAGCATGGATTAGAAGGGAGATACAACTGACGCGGCCTGCCCTACCATATGATCATGCATGCTTTCCATTTGTATAAGAAATATTCAGAATAGGTTATTGTATACGCGGTAATTGTACATCAGACAAATATTTCTTATTCAAATGGAGTACCTTCTATTCCATACTCCTTGGGGTAGATTCACACTGGTACCCTTTAACCCTTCAAAGAACAACACTGAGGAATATATCTAAGAGGTTTTAAGTCAATTTATTTCTTTTTTCTCTGCTAAATACATCTTAAACAATTGAAAATATTAAGCTAGAAAACAAGGATCTCTCGTTTATCTTAGACAATACAACGATATGAAGATTAAAGGCAACATTCATGTCAGTTTTTCCATTTTCGAACATATCCTGAATAGAGTATAGGACTGGGCATGTGCCTATTTTTTTTTAAATTGTTCGTTTCTCGTTCATGAACGAGGGTATTCAGCTGGATCGTTCTTTTTCGTTCGTTCTTTTTCCAATTCTTCCTTCCCTGTTCCGTTCTTTGTGTTCTTGATTGAGAACAGTTCCAGCCGTCTGTTAAGGGGGAGTACTCATTAATGACTTAAGAACGTAAACAATTTTGATTGCTCCTTGTTCTAGAACAAGGGCCATTAAAAAAATAATGGTCCATTATTTTTTATCTAATACAGATGATTTTACTGAACGGTCGTTTAGTGAGAAAACGAACGAAATATCAAATCAAATCAAATCAAATCAAATCTTTTATTAGGCTACAGATTATACAATGTACATACATATAAATGCTAATTGAAAATTACAAACAATTAAAAGTATATTGTGGCGGGGGAGCTTTAAGATAGCCCAGGCTGTTTACACATGAGCTCCCCTGGTTCAGCATAATATAGATAAGATTTAAACAATTTTCTATGTGCATGAAATAGATTGACAATCAACGAAATTTTAGGAACGAACAAAGTGAATTTTTTTACGATTGAAAAAAAAGAACTAAATGGATCATTCACGAACAATGAACGATCATTATGAAAGAAAGTCGAATGTGCCCATCTCTAATTGCACCCAATTCTATACTAGACCAAAATTTAAGTTTAGAATGCGTTCCTGCTCTTTAATGTTAGAGATTACAGACCGTTCTTTGCAACCAATTTCCGTTTGTCTCGTCTGCTAATTTATAGATCATTCAAAAACTTTAAAAACACATTCTGCACGTTCGTTCTTTTTTTCTGGAACGTTGGCATCATTCTTGATAATTCTGTTTGTTCCCTATAGGAACAATTGTTCCCCAGGAACTACGCCCATCCCTAGATGTGATTTTAAAATACGTTTACAGTCCCTTTATTTAATCTGTTTCTCTTCAAATACGTTTACAGTCCCTTATTTAATCCGTTTCTCTACAAATACGTTTACAGTTCCTTTATTAAATCCGTTTCTCTTTAAATACGTTTACAGTCCCTTTATTTAATCCGTTTCTCTTGTAATACGTTTACAGTCCCTTTATTTAATCCGTTTCTCTTCAAATACGTTTACAGTCCCTTTATTTAATCTGATTCTCTTCAAATACGTTTACAGTCCCTATATTTAATCCGTTTCTCTTTTAATACGTTTACAGTCCCTTTATTTAATCCGTTTCTCTTTAAATATGTCTATAGTGCCTTTAATTAATCTGTTTCTCTTTAAATACGTTTATAGTCCCTTTATTTAATCCGTTTCTCTTTAAATACGTTTATAGTCCCTTTATTTAATCCGTTTCTCTTGTAATACGTTTACAGTCCCTTTATTTAATCCGTTTCTCTTCAAATACGTTTACAGTCCCTTTATTTAATCCGTTTCTCTTTGAATACGTTTATAGTCCCTTTATTTAATCCGTTTCTCTTTAAATACGTCTACAGTTCCTTTATTTAATCCGTTTCTCTTTAAATACGTTTACAGTCCCTTTATTTAATCTGTTTCTCTTTAAAACCAATGTATGCCCAAGTGAAACCTCACTCACCTGGTCATTAATATCCTCATCTTCATTACTAAACTCATCGCTCTCCTCTGTACTGTCAAGTTCTCCCAACCAAGCACATCTTCTGGCATCCTGGGATCAGATCCAAAAGTTTAGACCTTTTTATACGGTTGGGCTATTTTTTGCCTTATATAAGATGTGCAAATGCCTCTAGAGCGAGTTAAGAAAAGGTTATTTATGTATCTAGCGTTAAAGTCTAAGTTTTCAGTATTCATTTTTAAAGATTTTCGAACCTATCTTTTAAAGTTGCTTTGGGAGATTCAAGAATAACTTTTTTAAAGTATATGTCGTAAAAATGTAAAATAAGTGCTTGAAAAATATTAATACAGGCGACAAACTTTTCTATACATATAATATAAATAATTCAATATACAAAATGTTATGGAGTATTAAAGATTTTTTATAATTTTCAGATTTAACCCACTGCCGTTCAGACCATTATTCAATTTGTTTCACATGGATTGCACCCAACCCCCCATTAAATAAAAAACCGGGCTACGGTTAAATGATTGAACTTTTTTTACCTCTGATCCTTGAACAACAACAACAGAACTACCAGGCCACCTAGCACAACCCCCCAACCTGGTTTTAATTTTAATTTAATTTTTTAAGAAATATTCTCATTTGAAAAAATAGTGTTTGCAAGATTGATTTGATTTCTTCAAATCACACAATCTTTAAAAAGAAACTAATAACTCACTTTCAACTTTAACTTTCTTATCTTAAATCTTCACAACATTCTGGTGTAAGCTTTGTTATTTCAATATCAAAGGCGGCAAAATCAGGTTGCAAAGCTACAAGGAATAGAAAAATATTGTTTGAGTTATCAGTTCTTTTTCCGCAATATCCCCGTAGGGGATTAATTCCCCAATATTTCTTCATGTTGTCTTCAATAACTGACTGGGAACCCCGTTGGGGATAAAATCCCCAATAATTCTTCATGCCGTCTTCAATACCTGACTGTGGAACCCCGTATAATAAAATCCCCAATATTTCTTCATGTCGTCTTTAATACCTGACTGTGGAACCCCGTAGAAGATAAAATCTCCAATATTTCTTCATGTCGTCTTCAATACCTGACTGTGGAACCCCGTAGAAGATAAAATCCCCAATATTTCTTCATGTCGTCTTCAATTACCATTCGTTTCTTTATACTCACACTAGAAATATGTGCTTATATTAGAAACTATAATTTGTATATGTTTTTTTAAAACTGAATTTTTGACCTTTTTTTCTCTGTTGTAATCTTCGGTTTATCTGAGAATAAGTAAGCAGTAAAACTGGAATTCATCCTAAAATAGAAGACAAGACTAGACCAATGTGCATAGAACTAAGGAGGAAATAACAAGAGTGTAAATTTTTCTAGGGTATAGGAGGACCAGGCTTGTGAAAAACTATTGTTTATTTACTGTAAACAAGTTTTTAAGGAGACCGCATACGTCATGTTTCAAACACTGCCCCCCCCCTCCCACACCTTAGTTTTCACGCATCGGATTTAATCTATATAAAAAGCTCGTCCCTCATATATATGTTTCTGGCCAAACGGGAACCAATGGGTACCATGGGGGGTAATATGGGCTAACAAAATTCGATTTTAAAGTCCAAATAAAAAAAATGTTATTCCACGGGCAACGCCGGGCAGTTTAGCTAGTATAATATACATGTTGATATATAAATCCAGACCATACTACTCATATCAAGAAACTTTTATTTTCTACAAGATTGAATTATATACATATATACGTACCACTCAAAACAACCAACCCTGGTTAGGCGGGTCCAAACTGTATAGTAAATTGTAATTGCTTATTTGTAATATCTCATGCTTTGTAAATGAATAAAAATATGAAATATGAGATATATATAGACTTATCCAAATATGAGATATATATATAGACTTATCCAAATATGAGATATATATAGACTTATCCAAATATGAGATATATATAGACTTATCCAAATATGAGATATATATAGACTTATCCAAATATTTTTAAATGGTCCAATCTTTTTATATTTTCTATTCCTCTGTGTTTCTAAAACAACACAATTCAATATGGTGAGACAACCTTTGTTACACAATAACAAAGGGTTGCCCACAAAGGAAGAGATTGTAAAGACGACCTCAATCTCTTGAAATATGTTTATCCCAAGGTTAAGTTTGGTCTTCTGTCAGTTTGAATTCTGTACAGTCGTCTCTCAGATCTTGTCCTTTGTGGGGAATCCAGTATAAATTATTATTATATAAGATTTAGTCAGGTTATCTTGCAAATTTTTTATCTTTTGATTTTCGCCATGTTTTTTCTTACGTTATAATTTGAGATTTGCACCAAGCAGTGTTTACCACACTTTCCTAGAATAAACATACAAATTTTATTGAAAAATATAGATTTTAAGAAAAATCTATTTACAATTTCAAAATTATTATTGTTTTATAAATAATCGACTTTTTGGAGAACCTGCAGATCCCAAAAATATATTTTATCAAAAAAAAAATGCTAAAAAGATATATTTATTTAGATTTCGACAGTTAAAATTTAAATACCATCGAGCAGGGAAACGGAACAAAATTTTTTGTATATGTGCGAAGAAAATATGGTAAGCATCATTAAAAAACCAGAATTACATAAAAAGAGAGGTGCGAAGCACACTTAATGTCAAGTTTTTATCTATTGTTCCCATTCCCAAAAAAAGCCTTATATTTTCTAAAATGTCATTTTGCTAATGCGCACTTGATAAAATGGCAGTTTACGAATTTAAACTTAATTGGGAAAAAATGTAAAAAAAACTATTTTTGTGACAAAAAATTTGACCTGGTTGAGTAGTTTCATATCTGTTGGTGAGAGAATGAGAGAATGGGGACGAAGTGCCATGAATCTGTATATATGTATAAATATATATGTATATGTATATATTATGTATATATATATATATATATATATTTTACTTGTATAAATCTATATTTATATTTTTCTGTGATTTAAATGTCTTCAGCTTTCAAGCAAAAATCGATAATGATTTTGCCAATTACTTCATAAAAACTCAAGGTACCAACAAGTGCTTTATAATTCTAGAATGTAAATGTAAAGGGCTACAGAAAAGCAACATTGAGTTAGGGCGGTAAAATCAAAAATTGATAAGACTTTTTACAATGAGGCCGATTCTATGTTTTATAAAGTAGTAATCTCTGTTTGTTTTTACTTCTGTTTATTCTATTCTACTGTACCTTATGTCTAATGGAATACAGAGAAGTGTTTATATATTCTATTCCACTGTACCTTATGTCTAATGGAATACAGAGAAGTGTTTATATATTCTATTCCACTGTATCTTATGTCTAATGGAATAAAGAGAAGTGTTTATATATTCTATTCCACTGTACCTTATGCCTAATGGAATACAGAGAAATGTTTATATATCCTATTCCACTGTACCTTATGTCTAATGGAATACAGAGAAGTGTTTATATATTCTATTCCACTGTACCTCATGTATACAGGAATACAGAGAAGTATTTATATATTCTATTCCACTGTACCTCATGTATACAGGAATACAGAGAAGTGTTTCTTTATTCTATTTCGCTGTACCTCATGTATACAGGAATACAGAGAAGTGTTTATAAATTCTATTCCACTGTACCTCATGTATACAGGAATACAGAGAAGTATTTATATATTCTATTCCACTATACCTCATGTATACAGGAATACAGAGAAGTGTTTATATATTCTAATCCACTGTACCTCATGAATACAGGAATACAGAGAAGTGTTTATATATTTTATTCCACTGTACCTCATGTACACAGGAATACAGAGAAGTATTTATATATTCTATTCCACTGTACCTCATGTTTAGAGGAATACAGATACGTATTTATATGTTCTATTCCACTGTACCTCATGTATACAGAAATACAGAGAAGTGTTTATATATTCTATTCCACTGTACCTCATGTATACAGGAATACAGAGAAGTGTTTATATATTCTATTCCACTGTACCTCATGTATACAGGAATACAGAGAAGTGTTTATATATTCTATTCCACTGTACCTCATGTATACAGGAATACAGAGAAGT